GAAATCACTTTGACGCTTCTTAGCTGTACATCTATATCATCCTTGTTGCCCAATGTCTTCATTATTTGTAATTAATTAAAATATAACAGTGACATTTAAATATATGTAACTGAAGTATGACAATGTGATATCCACATACAATTTTACAGTAGAGGACTGTTACTCTTTCCTTCATTTAATGGGAACAAAAAGGAGATAATAAGTAAAGACACTTTCTGACTTTTCCAAGTAAGTAGCATGAAGCCATGACTGTTATAAAGACTGAAAAAATTAAAAGCCTCCTTTTGTTTGAGGCATTTCATTGAGAACATCTGTGATTGCGTTTGTTTATTTCTGGGGGAAAATAAGAATCGCCTTACATACTGAAGGTGCAAAAGAGGGAAAGAGACGTATGGAAGAATTTAAGTTTTCAGCAACTTAATTATCTCGTCTCTCTGAGAAGATTGACTTCAGCAAATACACCAGAGGACAGATATGCTTATAAACGGATATCTGAGATGAACATTTTTCCGAGGCTGGTATTAACAACGGAAACTCAAAACAGATTTTAAGTGGCATGCCAGCTTATATTCAAAGCTTTACAAGTTACTAAAAATTTGAATTATATAACCAAATACTAAAAGTTTAGGTGATTTTCATTAGTCTCTGTTTCCTAGCCATTCAAAGACAATGACTGGAAATAGATGCTGTCATTTCATATTACCATTATTTAGATTCTAGTATCTATGTCAATAATAAGACAATAGCCAACTGAAACGTACACAGAGATGGATATATTTTATAATAGAGGACATTGCCAAAGTGCCAAGGCTTGGAGCTCTGGAACAAGTTCATGTATTTCCCTAGGAAGCAAATCCTTCTGGGTGAAGTTCTAAGAAAAGAAAGAAAGAGATAGGAAGGAAGAGAGGGAAGGAGGAAGGAAAAAAGGAAAGGAGAAAGAAAGAGAGAGAAAGGGTGCTAGATATGCAATGTCAGAACTGCGTTCACCAGAACAGCACAGCAATGCAGCCACTGAGAGTGGACAGTGCACTGCCAAGAAGCCAATGGGAGTTTCAGAAAAAAATAGTAACTCACAGTGTCAGGGGCCTAAAAGAGAATGCGAACAACATGTCTTGGATTTAACAGGACGTTATCATTGACTTTTGTCTGGCCACCAAAGGCCAGCTTCTTGTATACATATATAAGAATATGTAGATAAGAATAAATAGGCTATATACATATTATATATATAACTATATAACTATAGTTATATAGTTATATATATAACATATATATATATATATATAACAAAGTATATATATATATATAACAAAGTATGTGTGCTATGATTTACACTTAAAAAACATGAACACCATGACATTTGGGAGAATGCCTTTAGCTAGCATCACAGAGAAACATTAATAAAATGAGCTTTGAAAGGCCGACTTGGGGCTCAGCTATGTCCTACGTTCAGAGGAAAGTGCAGTACAGACAGAGAAAGGGTGACAGAGAACGGAAGTATTCCAGCTCTTGGGGAGCCTGTCACAGACTGCAGAGGGAGGTGGCACATAGGCACTTCCATTCAGGTTGATGACATCATGTTGGTTTATGTTATCAATAACTATGGTGAACGTTTTATTTACTAATATGAGACATAAATTTGATTTAGCAGTATCTTCGTGAGCAATGCTTCATTTGCATTTATCAGAAATTTAAAGAAAACATCTGAAGTGAACTTAAGTAGATTTTTCAGAAAACTCTTTTCTTACTCCATGAAAGACTTTTGACATCTTTGGCTCTTAAATTTTTTATCTTTGAGATAGGGCTCCATCACTCCTCAAGTTCTTCCCTAATATAGCTCAATGATATGAAAAACTATTTTCAAAAGAGCACCTAAGTGTGCACATATAATCAAATCATTTAAATACCCACTGATTTTTTTATTATTATTAAACTAGCCGTGAAGTTCTCACATTCTATTCTCCTGTTTGGGTTTGTAAAAGTTCACATTTCTTAACCATTTTGAAATAAAATAAGAGTTATAAAGAAGGGTTGTAGATATGCACAATCCAGTAGATTATTTTTCCTCAGCAGATAGCTTATAATGATTTCATAATTTTGTGGACTCTGTAAAATATTAACATGATAGTGCTGAAGTCATTCTAAGAGTGATATATCCATTTCTACGTCAGGAAATCAGGATGGAGAGATAGTGGGTGGCTTCCTGCAGGTCGTGTGCCTACATGTGCTACAGTCCTGAGTCTGCATAGATAAGACCTGGCACACAAATTCATGTAAACACGGATACTGCTGCCCATGTAAGCTTGCTAAAACTTAGTCTCTGCTTTTTACTTTCCCCCCACTCATCTTATTCTTTAAGCGAGTGTCTGGACGGCAGTCCTGTTGGCTTCACCATGCTGTGTCTCGGCTCCACTACTCAACAATGGCTTCATTTGCTGCAATGCCCTCATGGAGAGTGCTTCTCCCCAGAATAGTACCTGATGATGCCTTCAGAGAGGTGCAAGGTGATGTGACATGGGAAATGTGCTGCCTAACGACATCAGCGACTGATGTGGGATTCCCTTCTGCATGCTGTGAATGCCGCTGGTTAATAAAGAAGCTGCTTTGGGCCTATTGCAGCTCAGAATAGGGCAAGGTGGGCATTCCAAGAAGATAGATGAGGAGAGAATAGGCAGAGTCAAAAAGTCGTCATGTAGCTGCCTCAGGAGACAGATGCCTGATGCAGGATGAAACCTTACCAATAGGCCACAACCATGTAGTAATACACAGATTAATAGAACTGTTTAATTTAAGACGTAAGAGCTAGCTAGAAATACACTAGAGTCATTGGCCAAGCATTGTTGCAATTAATAAAGTTTCAGTGTGATTATTTCATGGGTGGCCGGGAAATGAACAAGCAGTCTCCGCCTATAAGGAGCCATATGTGCCCGTGCATGCACATGTGTATGCAAGTTTATGTGTGTATGTGGAGGTGGATGCTCATTTGTATGTACATGCTTGTGAAGACCAAAGGACAGGGATATGGCTCAGTCACTAAAATGCTTGCTTCACAAGGATAAGAACTGGAGTTAAATCTCCAGAACACATTTAGAAATCTGTGGCATGGTGGTGCATACTTGCAATTCACTTCTGGGCTGCTGAAGAGACAGGATAATCCCTGGGGCTAAGTAGGGCTGATCTAGTTGGTGACTCTAGGCCAATGAGAGCATCTACCTTAAAGGAGATGAACAGAGTCTTTGAGGACCATGCCAGAGGTTGTCCCCTGACCTGCATACAGAGCAGAAGCTGCATTACTCTCATAGCAGCCTCATGTATTTGCAGTTAGATGTGTCTCCTAAGGACAAGAAATAGGTGGGGCAAACGATAATATCCCAATTCAACGAAGCACAATTTTGCCCAAATGCCATTAACACAATAACAATGAATGGCAAAGGGGAGAAGAGCGGCTACTTGGAGCAGCTACTGATTGCTAAGAGTTTAGAAAACTAATTTTACCCCCAGACAAAAGTTAGCTACGCTTGCTGTTTATTTTGCCCTTCCACAAAGACCCAATATTACTGACTCATATAAACCATTACTTCAAAAATGATTTTACTTTAGAGAAAACTTTCAACGGCTTAAGTTTGTCCTTTCCAAACAAATATCTCATTTGCATACATCAGCCCCTGCTGCTCCTGCACAGCTGTGACTTGGGCTGTAGTATGAGGGGATGTTAGTAGCACATGACCTAGGAACGGAAATGCCATTGATCTTGCAAAAACAAGAGGATATTTCCGTTTAATCAATGTGCTGGGGCCACTGACCTGCCCCAAGAGCTTTTCGTGACCACCACCATGCTGAACCGACTTCCTAGTTATTAGGGTCCGCCTTCAATTGGTGTCTTCAGCTGACTTTGAAAAGGGTCCCCTCTTCCCTCTTGCCCCTCTCTGTTCGTTCTTTCTCACTTTCACAGCCTGCTTGCTCCCATCAAGAGCAGATCATGACTAGAGCATCCCTGTCTGCCTGCTGATCTCCTCTCACACCTGATGGAAAGGGCAGAAGGCATATGTGCTCCCATACTACTTCACAGTGTAAAATACTTTGTAGGCTACAAATAACAGTTAGGTAAGGATGGAATGGCTAATAAAACTTACATAAGCAAAGAAAGAAATGAAATGTCCTATACCAGGTGCCAAGCTGTTGATATAATAATTACTTTAAATAGGGATCTGAGATAAATCTGAAAAGTATCATTACATCAGAGAAGATCATAACTTGCCGAAAAATAAAAACACTTTTCTTTAGACTCTTTCAGGGAAAACAAGGAGCCTTGATAGTTGTGCGAGGAAAAGGGTTCTTAAAACTCCATTTCTTTCTTTTCATTTTCCAAAAGTAGCATTTACTTATTTCAGGAAATCCATAATCTCCAAATCATGGAAATGAAGAGATGAATGATCATTTTATTGCTCCAAAATTACATTTAAGCACATTTTGTGACAGAATGAATATGCTGTAACCTATATTAAATATGCATAGTCTTAAGTGCACTTGGGTAACTTTAAGTTCTTTGGAATATAATCTATTATAATTTTGTTGATGTCTGAGTTTTAGTCTTGAATTTATTTCTGACTACAGTTCTACATGAGATCATGCTACCTAGTAATTATCACAGTTTAAGTTACCCCATCATTTTAGTTTGGTGTCATACTTGCTTGTATAAGTACTAAATAACAAATTTATACTCCACCAAACATGCCAAAAATTATACAGTATAGAAATAATCACATATGTAGAGAATCAAGTTATGCTTGTAAGTCTTAGTTTCTACACTTCTTTCTCCATCTTTGTCTATCTTTTAATAGCAAAATGACTTTTGTATTCTAGAAGGTAGAATTGAACTCGAATGCCATCAGCTTCTATAGATATTTTTTATAATAGAAAAATCTTTCTCCTCTGCCCCTCGCATGGGCAGGTCGATTTTTATTGAAAATGGCTTCAAGCTGGCTCTAATATTTACTCACTTATGCAGGTGCGTTCGTCAGCATGGCGTCTGTAGCCTGTATCACACACGCAGTGGAAGGTGCCCAGAGTGTTAATACAGCGCTGCTGGCAGCCTCCGTTCACCACCGCACATTCATCGATGTCTAGAGGAGGAAGACAGATGGCCAGGATTACAATGTCACTCCAATGTCAACTTCAGAGAAGTGGTACAAATATTTCTTTGATTCACAGTATGTGTTATATTGTACAAAAGCACCATCTCTGTTACCACAAATCTATGCTTGTTTGATCCATTTTGCTCCACACTGTAAACAACAAAATAAAGATAGAAACGTTACTGAGGATTTTTGTTGTTGTTGTTGTTGTTTCTTTTATTTTAGAACAGCAACCATGAGCATTGTGATTGTCTCACGATTTTTTGTTCCTCGTGCATTGACTAATTAGACAGATTCGAGATAAAGATATTTCTTTGGGGAAGAAAAACTGGAGGAGAGAATTACAATGAGCCACTCTCTCTGGAGAAGCAAACACTAGTAGATAAACACCTATTCTTGGTCTGACAGCGCTGAATAAAGCCAGTAATGGAGTTAAGACCTTGAGTCTCCTTCTCATGTGCTACAGTAGACATCAGAGCAAAGACAGATGACTCAAATGAAACCATGGCTTAACGTTCTCAGAAAAACATCAGTACATTGCTTCCCACTAATTTAGCTTCTTGTTCAAGTGGCTGTTACCTAAAACAGTGTGTTTGTATAAAACACTGGTTATTAACTTTTGGAATAAAATGGAAAATAGTCAAGAAAAATTTACAGTTACCTACTTTTTATTATCAGTAATAAATACTACCGAGATACACAAATATAATATTGATTTCTCACTGAAAAGAAATTTCATTTCCCAGCACTTACACTTTATTGTGCCTCAAGCAATCACTACTTCCATATTTAAAATTACAAGACAACAAGTTTCAGGTTGTCTATGAATTAAAAAGAAAGATTGTAAACTTTCTTATTTGGTGATTTGTATAAGTGGAAATGAGGGGTGAGAGTGATAGCAAGTGCCTGTAATCCCAGAGGTCTGGGTTGTAAAGCAAGAGAAACCTCAATTCCAGGTTAATCTAGGCTATAAAACTGGGAGGGAAGGAAGAAGGGAAGGGGCAGGGAGCAGAAAGGCTGCAGAGAGGGGGAAGGAAAGGGGGCAGGGAAGGGGCAGAGAGGGGGACATGGAGGGGGCAGAGAGGGGGCAGGGAAGGGGCAGAGAGGGGGCATGGAGGGGGCAGAAAGGGGACAGGCAGGGGGCAGGGAGAGGCAGGAAAGGGAGCAACATTTTTCTGAAAGCATCAGAGTAAGAGCTATCTCCTGGCTTGGGGTGTGGATTTCAGGGGGCAGTTAGACTCTTTTTACCCTTAAACTGAAACCCTTTGGGAAAGATATCTTATGTGAATAGTCTGCTAAAGTATGAGTCACTCATTGGAAAGTTCATTTTCCCATAAGGAACACAGAAAGCTACGACAATGACCGTCTGTACATATCTCCATGCCAAAACCTCAGGATTGGTAAGGAGAATTTGACCAAAGGTAGCAAAAGAGGTTTTATTTGCCAGGCATTGATTTTGTCTTTTTTCAAATGAAAGTGGCAGTATATTTTCCACAACTTGGCATATCTTTTGAAACATAAAATATTTTGGATGAAGTCCTAATATTCTGAACGTAAATTCTATTTCAGTGACAAGAATTACTAATGTGACAAAATGTGAGAATTTTTATTGCATTTTGAGTCTGTGGTAACCTAGTCTGTATGTCTTTTTCATATGAAATAAGGCTATATGAGAATTCTCTATTTGTTGCCTCTTCTTTGTGCAGGGGTTTAATATCTATACAGGCTGTGTTCTCACCTTTTGTCTTTGGACTATTGTTCTGTAGAGTTGAGATATAATTCTGAATCTTAACAGTCAACCTCTAGATTAGACATTCTTTCCAGGTCTCTCATTTTGGACATATAAATAAAACCCAAGCATAATATACTTTACATGATAAATGACATTGCAACTATCATGAATCATACACAATGTTTTATTTGTGTATATATAAACTGAAAAGGGTCTTAAATTATGTGAAAAGGCATAAATTATTTCTTCTGAGGTGGGCGGACAGGTGAATTCCATGACAGAATGGAGTTTCCTTTGATGGCATAGGTCTTTAGACAATTCTCTTAAAGCATTATTTTTATTTTATTGTCTGTGTGTATGTATTGCCTGTATGTATGTCTCTGGCTTATGAGCATGCAGTGCCCACAGAAGACAGCATCACGTCCCCTAGAACTGGAGCTACAGATGGCTGTGAGTCTCTATGTGGGTGCTAGAAATAGAAACACAGTCCTCTGCTCTTAACTGCTGAGCCATCTCTGCAGGCCCTAGACAAACTTGTTTAACTATATCTCTGGGGCTCAAGTTTGTTATAAGAGAGGAAACCACATAGATGTGTATAAAATGATGTAACTTTAAAATAAAGTTTACTCTGATAACTGCCCTCCCATGACTTACTCACAAAGTTTTAATACTTTCTCACCAAAGACGTAGTGAATCTTTTATTTTTTTCAGTCACTGACTATGCTCCCAAGATATAATGGTACAGACTTGACAATGAACTTTCTTGACAAAAGCTTTGAAATGTTTCTATTCTTAGTCAGTCTGTAACTATGCACTCTGGTGACTATACACATGCGTGCACACACACACACACACACACACACACACACACACACACACACACACTATCGACTAGCCTCTGTTCTTTGAGTGAGATAGTCAGATAGTCTTGGGGAAAATATTCTTTTTTTTTCTTTCAAGGTTTTCTTTTATATTGATTTTAGTGGGCTCTACATATTTCTCCCCTCCCCTTCTACTCTCTCCCATGGTCCCCCTGCCCCAATTTACTCAAGAGATCTTGCTTTTTTCTACTTCCCATGTTGATTAGGTCCATGTATGTCTCTCTTGAGGTCCTCATTGCTGTCTAAGCTCTCTGGGATTGTGAATTGTAGGTTGGATTCCTTTGCTTTATGTCTAAAAGCTACTTATGAGTGACTACATATGATATTTGGCTTTCTGGATCTGGGTTACCTCACTCAATGTGATATTTTCTTTACTTTTTTTTTAAGTAAGTTTTATTAAATTATAAAAGTTTCCATTTCCGCCCCCCTCCCAACACCCTGCATGGGATCAAACTAAGTCCTCTGAATGTGGGTAACAGTAATGTGGCTTGATCTGGT